GTGTGTATTTTGATTATTTTCTGAGACCAGACTGCCCCTGTTTCTTTTTTATTTTTTTATTTTTCTATTTCTTTTTGGTAATGATGTGCACGAAAATATCTGTTAATCAAGATTTTCAGTTGAGACCCAAATCACCAATATTTTGTAATCATCAAGAAAATATTATGTTACAAATTGAACTTGAATAATTTGTAAATAACTTTCTCAATAGGACATAGTTTCCATACAATAATCAAGGAATAAACCATATATCATCATGAAATATTCAAGAAATCTTAACCAAACTCCATACTGGTATAATCAACTAATTAATATCACTAAACACGAATTAAGACGTGATCAAACGGACGATTTAACAATGCCACATCAAGTAATATTTTCTCTAATTTAACTTGATTGTGCCATATCAAGATTTGTGGGGGGAAAAAAATTAAAACAAATTTGAATATTGGTAATAAATGAGAGTTTCATTTAAGGGACATGAAACCATTAATATAGGGTGAGTCCATTGCTCTGATCATGTCATGTGTCCAGAAAAACAACACTCTGGCCAACCTGAAATTAGAGCTTCTTAAATTTGTTGCCAAATGGGTACCCTTTTGCCTTACTATGAATGTATGTGATATGCCAAAATTAGTTGGAAAATGAAATCTTCAATTTTTTTTATTTTTTTTTATTTTTAATTATGGTTAAAGTTTTCAGGCCACTGTTACTATCATTTTCAAATGAAAAGGATTGGCACTAACTTTTTTTCTAATTCTTTAATTATTTTTTGTTTCCCCATAGGCAGATTTCAACTTTCACTAACATGAATAATAAACTATTAGAAAATGGGGGACAGATGAACTTAATTAAGGGCAAGNAATTAAATAACATGCAATATGAGGGAATATTGGATATTTTATTAGACTAATAATTAATCGTCTTAAAGATGAAGCATAAAAGAAATCATATAAATCTCTTTATTATGGCCCAAATTGTATGATTTGTGTGGCAAATTAATAGTAGGCACTTGTCACATGCATGTTTGACCCCAGTTTTTGTTAGGGGTCTCCCCGATTTTTGTGGGGAAATGACAAATTTTTTATTTGATTATGACTACAATTTTATCAAAGAAGAACAAATCAATATAAAGGCAAAGCATAACCTAAAAACTCCAAGTTAATACGTGTCAATTATTAAAGTTGTTGCATTCTTTTTTGCAAATTAGATAGATTAGGTAATCATAATGATCAAAGTACATTATAAGAAAAATAATTATATTTAATTCTAACAATATACCAACAACTATTATTCTAAAATTTTCAAGTTATTTTGAACAATTTCAATGAAACTCCAATAAAATTATTCATTTCATGATTCCAATTGCAGTTTAATTCTGAATTGTTGGACTTATACATGGCAAAAATAATTTCAATGAAAAATTGTATATATAAACAAGAATTTCTGTAACAAATCATTAAAAAAATATGTTTAAAATCATCAAATTCTATATGAAATTTCAAAGGTAATTTAGTTCATGTGTCTTGCTATCGGTTGAAATATATATTAGGAGGTGTTCCAAATGAAGCCATAATATTTAAAAATTCATTATAGTTTTTGTTGAAATATGATAATTTTCTTGTAATATATTAATAAATTGAACCTTGATAAAAAACAAAAAACAAAAAAAAAGAGTTATATTTCAATACAATACAACAATTTACAAATTAAAATTCCCCTTTAATATAATTTCAAAACGATAAAAATTAATACAATTATATTCCAAAATAAATAAGATTCTTATCCCCTTCCACTCCAAAATAAATAGGATTCTTATCTCCTCCAACTTTATATGCCGTGTAGATAGGTATGAATCTATCAACATTGAACCACAAAA